AGTAGAGTGGTGTTGCCAGGAGTAATTGTGTCTCGATGGCACAGAATTCTAGGTTAGATTAAAGGCCATTTTCTACAGCTCTTCAAAGAGGCTGAAGATTATACTATCTATATTAAAAATAATCTCTATGTATCTAAAAGACCTGATTAACCTAAAAATAATATGACAAACATATAATTCTCAATACCTATCTAATTTGAAAACTAAGAGAATAAACAACTGTGCAATATATGAAGACAATGATCTTCACCTGTAAACAATGTCATTACATATCAAAATGTAAACAATGTTATTACGTAAACAGTACCAGAGGTAGAAATGTACATTGTGATATGATAGATGTATCCATACAATATAAGCATACTCTTATTCAAAAATAGAGGTAGGAACACTCACATTCAATATTTAATATATCAATATACAAGAACAGTACCAATATAATTTTCTAAAAACAGTAAGTCACAAATACCAATCATCCCATCAAACCAGTTAATCCCCCTCTTTTTTTTTTTTTTGAATATACCCCTAATTCCATACAATAGGAAGGAAAAAAGGGCCGAGCTGCCTCTCTGCGTGCCCATTTATTGGCAGGCATTTGCCCGAGGCAAACCCCGCCCCCTAAAGGGGCTGCCTTAACCCAGATACGCTGGCATCCCAGACTCTTACAGAGCCACAAAGAAAAAGCAGAGTCAGGCAGATCCCTCTTTTTTTTTTAATATTTATTTATTTATTATGGATACTATATTCTGTTTGCATATATGCCTGCAGGCTAGAAGAGGCCCCCAGACCCCATCACAGATGGTTGTGAGCCACCATGTGGTTGCTGGGAATTGAACTCGGGTTCTTTGGAAGAGCAGGCAATGCTCTTAACCGCTGAGCCATCTCTCCAGTCCCCTAGGCAGATCTCTAAATTCCGGGCCAGCCTGATCTACAGAGCGGGTTCCAGGACAGCCAGGGCTACACGGAGAAACCCTGTCTCGTAAAACAAAAAAGCAAAACAAACAAAAAAAGGAAAAAGGAAAGCCTGGCATGGCACAAGCCTTTTAAGCCCAGCACTCAGGAAGCAGAGACAGATGATCTCTGAGCTGTGCACCATCTAGGCCTCATAATGAGATAGGCAAATAAACACATGAAGAGTTGCATGTCTTAGCTTTTAGAACTTAATCATTAAGTACAAACTGGGCCCAACTTTGTCATGAGTCTTGTTATGGAGTATCCACCATAGAAGACTGCTCAGATGCAGATTTAAACCAAAAGACAGTCTTTATCACCTGGCTGGCGACTACACTAGGTGTTCTGGATCCCAGCATAGCCCTGAGCCTTTCTCAGGGGAGCTTTTAAGCACCAAAACCATGTCCCAGGTTAACAAGAACGAAGCAGGCCGGGCGGTGGTGGCGCATGCCTTTAATCCCAGCATTCGGGAGGCAGAGGCAGGCGGATCTCTGGGAGTTCGAGGCCAGCCTGGTCTACAAGAGCTGGTTCCAGGACAGGCACCAATGCTACAGAGAAACCCTGTCTCGAAAAAACCAAAGGGGGAAAAAAAAAAGAACGAAGCAGAACTACAGAAGCCAAAACGCAAGGTTGGTTTCCCAGAACTATGGACTTTGACCGTAAGGTCTTACTTTTCATTTTGGCAAGTGGGGCTGTCTATGTGCTGAGTTTTATGGCCTGAATGGTACTTCTACCATGGAGTCAGTTGTGCTAAGGTCTGGGGGCCTGTTACACTTCCACCAACAGGCAGGATTTTCAGATCTCAGGAGTTGGGAATGTCAGAGGAGCCTATGGAACCAGCTGGGGACATCCAGAAACCAAAATAAAAAAGGGCCTGGAGGTGTGGTTCACTTGGCAGAGTGTTTGCCTGTTAGTCCTGGGTCCATCTCCTGTCACTGTGAGGACCTGACTTTGCAAACTCCATTTTAAAGAAGGGGCGTCATCTTAAGCCGTATAATGAGCTGGGGGGTGGGCAATCTCAGCTCCACAAATGTGCTGCGATAGCAGAAATTTGAACAGGTACTCGAAAAATGGCCAATTTAGAAGATAGGGACCAGGGCCGTAAAATTTAACAAGGTCCAGATGTTCTTGGAAGACATCCTGTCTTTGAAGATACCTTGTCAGTTATTAATGGCTCTTTGTTAGGTTTTTGTGCCCAAGAACTGACCAATGGGTTCAGAAACTACCTTAAGTACTCCTCACCCAATCCCCAAACGACAGGACTCAAACTCCCTGATGACGGCATTTCCCCTTTAAAAATTTGCCTCTTCCCGGGGTTTGAACCTTCACTTTCCTCACCCACTGCATTGATGTGCTGGAGATGTGGTCCAAACTCGAGTTTGAATTAAAATTCTTCATGTAATTTGCATCGGAAATCCATCCAGCTCTATGAATTCATTTGAGGACCAGAAACTTGTGCATAACATTACCACAGCAAACAGCTTGGTATTCACTCTCCACTCAACGAGGACAGCCTGGGTTTTAAAAAAAATGGGGGGCAGGGCATGGTGTCATACACCTTTAATCTCAACTCCTAGGAAGCAGATAGGCCAATCTCTCAGTTCAAGGCTAGCCTGGTATACAGAGGGAGTTCCAGGACAGCCAGGGCTATACAGAAAAACCCTGTCGTTGCTTCCCCCCCTCACCACGCTTTGGGCCTAGATTGGTCTTGACCTTAATATATAGCTGAGAATGGCCTTGAACCTCATACCTTTACCTCCTGGAATTACAGTCAAGCACCATGATTCTTGGCACAGGTGATTCCTATAGACACTTTGCCCTCAACAAATTTGACCTTAACTCTCCGCTGCCTAAGTGTGGGCCTTGCACACCAACTTCCTTCCAAAGAGGAGGGAGATCCAGATGGAACCTCACAGTTGGAAAACACATAGACACTGCCTTGGACTGATTTGTTTTTGTCAGTGACACAGGTGGACATACCTGGGAAGAGGAAACCTCAGCTGAGAAATCGCCCCCGGTGTGTGTGTGGGTGTGTGTGGGGGGGTCTTAATTACTAATTGATGTGGGAGGGCCCAGTCAGCTGTGGGTGGTGGCATCTCTAGGCATATGGACCTGGGCTGTATAAGAAAGATAGCCGAGGGGCTGGAGAGATGGCTCTAGTGGTTACTGCTCTTCCAAAGGACCCAGATTCAATTTCCAACACCCACATGGCAGCTTCCCTTAGTGATGACACCTGTAAGATGAAATAACCCCTTTCTCCTGTAAGAGACTTTGGTCATGATGTTTATCGTAGTAATTGATAGCAAATTAGGACTGTCTCATATTGCTGACAATATACCCCTGGGTAGGCTGTGGTGGAAATAGCACTTTATGTTGGCAGTCCCTCTTCCAAACCCTAGTCTAATGATGAGAAAAACCCTCAGATTCCAGGAGAGGAACAATCTTCAAAGGTGTTTCAGGATGAGGTATAACTCAGTCGTATAGTCTACAAGCAAAGGACCCAAGGTTCAATCCCCAGTAATGACAACAACAAAAAGCCAGGCCTATATCCCAGACCTAAGGAGGTGAGGCAGGATGATCACAAGTTCAAAACCAGCTGCACGATATAGCAAGCTGAAAGATAGTCTGGAGTAGTTATTGAAGATTTCTTCTCAGAAGTCAGAGGCTAGCCGGGTGGTGGTGGTGGTCCACGCCTTTAATCGCAGCACTTGGGAAGTAGAGGCAGGCAGATCTCTGTGAGTTCGAGACCAGCCTGGTCTACAAGAGCTAGTTCCAGGACAGGCTCCAAAACCACAGAGAAACCCTGTCTTGAAAAACCAAAAAAAAAAAGAAGTCAGAGGCTAACAAGAATGCCGTTCTTGTACAGACACGAGTTCAAGTACTAGCACACACTTTGTTCCCCAACTCCAAAGAAAATTTAAAACAAAATCAGACAAGAAACAAAAGCCTGACATGTAGCTCCAGGATATTTGCCTACCCTGGGGATCACCCTAGCATCCCACAAGTGTTTTGTGTTCCTTAAAACAAGGCAAGTGTAAGAAGCATCCATGAGGAGCTGGGAAGTCAGCATTGTGGGGAGCTGGATGGGTTCCCTACATAAAAAACTGGGTGAGCCGGGTGGTGGTGGTATACACCTTTAATCCCAGTGGTCATGAGGCAGAAGCAGGTGGATTTCTGTGAGTTTGAGACCAGCCTGGTCTACAGAGTCAGTTCCAGGACAGGCTCCAAAGCTACACAGAGAAGCCCTGTCTTGAAAAGCCAAAAAGAAAAAAAAGAAACTGGGTAAACTATGGGCTTTAATTAACATAGTGGTTCATGGATTTTATCAAGTATAATATACAGATGTCAAACTTTTATTTCTTTTGAGATGGGTATTTCATTATATAGCCCCGGCTGCTCCTAGAATTTGCTGCGTGGGCCAGGGTGGCTCAAACTCACAGAACTCCACCTATATCTGCCTCCCAGAGTACCGGGATTGAAGGTGTGTGTCACAATACCCAGTTCTCAAATATCAGGTTTATTTTATTTTATTTTATTTATTTATTTACTTATTTATTTACTTACTTATTTACTTACTTACTTACTTGTTTGTTTGTTTATTTATTTATTTGAGACAGAGTCCACTGTGTATTTTTGCCTGGCCTCAAACTCGTACAGATCCACCTCCCTCAGCTTCTTGAGTGCTGGGATTAAAGGCGCTCACCACACCAAATATCAGATTTTAACAATAGGGAACCAGGGGTGGGGGTGGGGGTGTCATATGGAAACTCACTATATTATTCTCATATTCTCATTTATTCCTTTATGTATTATGTGTATTCCTACATGAGTTTATGTGCACTTTGTGCATGTAGATGCACGTGTCATTTTTAAAAAACCGTTCTAAAACATTCTGTTATTTGATGAGGGTGGGGGAACCAATCATCACCTGATTCCTACCAAGGATCAGCCCAGAAAGGGGTTTGCCCTTAACAAAGATGGCATTCGCTAGCGTCGGGGGACGGCCTGACCAAGACAAAGAGGGCGGCCCCACAGGCAGGAACCGGAAACGCGCGTTGGGCGGTGCGTGGGGTACGGTGGGCGCTGGGACGCGCAAGCGGCGCGGGTCCGGGCATGAAGCTGGGCCGGGCCGTAGTGGCCCTGCTGCTGCTGGCGCCGTTCGCTTGTCGTGCCGTGGAGCCCATCAGCCTGGGCCTGGCCCTGGCCGGCGTACTCACCGGCTACATCTCCTACCCGCGCCTCTACTGCCTCTTTACCGAGTGCTGCGGCCAGAAGCGGAGCCTCAGCCGAGAGGGTAGGCGGGCACCAGGGTTGGGCACTGCGGCCGGGGGATGGCGCCGCGGTCAGGCCAGACTTTGGTCCGAGGCCTGGGAGATGAGTTGCCGAGGCTCACCGGGGCGGCTTCACCGCGTCTCTTCCGCTCGGCTTTGGGGAACATCCCCAAGCCCTCGGAAGTGCAGGGTTAGCGGCAGCAGGGACCTTCTTCAAACCAGGCTCCGCGGGCTCTGACAGCCTGGGAATGGGGCTGCATTTTGCCTGCTTGCTTCTCTCCTGACCAGAGTGATCTTTCCATTCCCAGCGCTGCAGAAGGATCTGGATAACAAACTCTTTGGACAGCATCTTGCAAAGAAAGTCATCTTAAACGCCGTGTCTGGTTTCCTAAGCAACCCGAAGCCCAAGAAGCCCCTTACCCTCTCCCTGCACGGGTGGACAGGCACCGGCAAAAACTTCGTCAGCAAGATCATCGCAGAGAATATTTACGAGGGTGGACTCAACAGTGACTATGTGCACCTGTTTGTGGCCACGCTGCACTTCCCCCACGCCTCCAACGTCACCCTGTATAAGGCAAGAGCATAAGTTGGCCGCCTTTGTGGATGACCCGGGTTTGGGTTTCTCTGTCTGGGACGGGATGTGGGAATTCCACGTCAGCGAGCAAGCCTCGAGATGGCTCTTTGTATGTGAGTTCCTCTTTAAAAGGTGTGGACGGAGCTGGCTGTGGTGACATCAGCTGTTCTGGAGGCAGAGAGAGCGAGAAGCTGAAGGAACTACAATTGAGGATTGCTCGTGCAGTGCAGATCGGGACTGTGTTTCAAAGGGAACTATCCAGGGCTGGGGTAGCCCAGGGTAGAGCATTTGCCCATACCCAGACCCTGCCCCTTTCTCTCCCCTCTCCCCTCCCACCCCCATCCCCCTATTCCCCTTTCCCCACTCCCCCCCCCCACCTCTCCCACCCCGCAGCAGGAGTGGTAGTGGATATGTAAGTTACCAAGGGTTTGTGTTACATCAAGCAATTAGACCACTAAAGGTTTATCGGTGACCTCTAGGCTCAGTAGCACTTGGCTGTGGTCAAATGGGGACACAGTCAAGTCCACCATCAGGGTCTTCAGGTCCCATCTGTATCATGGAAAGGAAACGTGGAGGTCTAAGTCTGTTTGGACTCAGCTGTTGCAGCCTGCTTTTGGAGTTTAATTCTGGGCTAACAGTCCACACCTGAACTCAGGTCCTGACCCGCCCTCCCTCCAGCTGTAGAGCGTGGGGACTGTCGGCCAGCCTTCCTGAGGAGCACACATTTACCCTTGCTTATGTGTATCCCCCCGTTCTGTTAAACATCGGGGTCACCATGACTTTGTGGCTGGGGGCAGGTTGTTTAGCCTATGCCTGTGATCAGCTGGGTGTGTTGTACTCACCTGCATTGCCAGCAGGCTGAGGCAGGAGGATCACATGTTTGAGGCTAGTCTGGGCTACACAGTGAAGTGAGCCTCTGTTTGAAAGCAGACAAGGAGAGGACAAATGGAGGGAGAAAGAAAAAAAAGGGGCCCAGTAGCATTTGTTCAGGGGCTTTTGGGAGGCGGGTTAAAGTGTTCACGGGCAGTGCTTAGCGCTGTGTCTTGCTGTAGTGCCCTGCAGTCTGTTGTTCTGGTAGGAGACTGGGCAAACCTTGTCTGTTGGGTTCTAACAACTGAGTGAGTTCTGTGTAGATGGTCACCTGTCTCATGGTGTTAGCAGGCCACTTGGGGTCTCTGAAGGTTCCTCTAAGGCAGTGGTTCTCAACCTTGCTAATGATGCGACCCTTTAACCTCATGTGGGGACCCCCAACCATAAATTTATTTTGTTGCTACTTCATAACTGTAATTTTTGCTACTGTTATAAATCATAATATAAATATCTGATATGCAGGATGTCTGCTCTCTAGCCTCTGTGAAAGGGTCATTTGACCCCAAAGGGTTTGAGACCCAGAGGTTGAGAATCACTGCTCTAAGGGGAAGGTGGTCAGGTGGTCCATCCCTGCAGATTTGCCGCTTGCATTAGATACAAATGGATACTATAACCATGGTCACGGGAGCCAAGGGAAAACCCCCAAACAGAAGTCCGATGCAGCTGCTAACACTGGCTGTTCTGTAGAAAAGTGCATAGCTGCTTCCCCACCTCACCTCAGGACGATGCAAATGGCTGCAGAGATAGAGAATTTGGGCTCAACTTTTTTTTTTTTTTTTGGTTTTTTGAGACAGGGTTTCTCTGTGGTTTTGGAGCCTGTCCTGGAACTAGCCCTTGTAGACCGGGCTGGTCTTGAACTCACAGAGATCCGCCTGCCTCTGCCTCCCGAGTGCTGGGATTAAAGGCGTGCGCCACCACCGCCCAGCCTGGGCTCAACTTTCTGAGGAAAATTCTGGAAACGGTCTTAGTGTGTAACTGACCTAGCATGAATGAGACCCTGATATCAGTTTTGGTATCTGGCCATCAAAACACCAAATACATTTTTTTTTTTTTTGAGACAGCTGCACCCGTGTGTTCATTGTTGTAGCCTGGGCTGGCCATGAACTGTTTTATTATTATCTTAGTTTAGTTTGTTTGTTGTTCATTGTTGTAGCCTAGGCTGGCCCTGAACTCCGTTTTATTATTATTATTTTAGTTTAGTTTGTTTTTAAATTTTGTGTGTTTATGTGTACTTGTGAGCATGTGTGAGCATGGGGGTCATAGGTCTATCTCTGGTGGTGTTCCTCAGGATCTGTCCACTTTTTTTTGATACAGGGTCTCTCACTGAGATAGGCAAGCCCCAAAGATCCTGTCTTTGCTACGACTGACTTCCTCTTGAGGGTGTTTGTAACGCAGGTCCTGTATCCAGTAAGCCTTCCTCCCACCCCGGGCTGGAACTCTTGCTCTGTCTCAGCTGGGGCCACGGAGGCATGTCACCAAGTCCATCTCAGATGTGTTCTTATGGTCTGTACCTAGCTAGGCAGATTTAGTTCAGAAAGCCTCATCACGCCCTCCCGAATGCTGAGCGCTCAAGTCCAGACTCCCTCCAGAAGGCCCTGTGCACTGTTTTCCCACCTGTGAGTCAGAGCTTCTCCACACTGGACTGAGGAAGAAGGAATGTGGGTTTCTACCTCTTACCGAGAGACTGTCCCACACAGGATCCGTGTGGCATTATTGCCATTGTGAGGACAGAGCTCGCGCCTGGCTGACAACAGCATCAGTGTGGTCGCAATGTGGTGTCACAGACCTGGAGCTTTAGCATAGGGCGGGGCTGGATTGATCCCAGTTTGCCCCAGCTTAATCATATTGTCTCAGGCAAGCTGCTGAAGCGCTCTGCACTCCAGTGTCCTCACCTGTGGCATGGTTATGATGCTACTCATACATGAAGTGATTGTGAGGGATAGGTGTGTGTGTGTGTGAGAGAGAGAGAGAGAGAGAGAGAGAGAAATGCTCATAGCACAGTGCTCCAGAGGTGCAGCCATTGTCCTCAGGGGGTAAAGTTGTTCTGAGGGCCTGGGCGTGGCTTTGGTAGAGGGCAGAGGGCTTGCTTAGTACTATTGAGGCGCTGGGTAGAGCTGCACAAAAAGACAAACCTAAATCTGATAGAAGTGTACCCACTAGAACTCTAAATGGGCCCTCTTGTCCTTCAGGACCAGCTACAGATGTGGATTCGAGGCAACGTGAGCGCCTGTGCTCGGTCCATCTTCATCTTTGACGAGATGGACAAGATGCACGCAGGCCTCATTGATGCCATTAAGCCTTTCCTAGACTACTATGATGTGGTAGATGATGTCTCCTATCAAAAGGCCATCTTCATCTTCCTCAGGTGAGGCTGTGGCTGGGATATGGTGGGAGACCCTTGCACCTGGACCTGGGAGCTTGGGGAGAAGTGCAGCCCCTCCTTGCTGCAATTATCTCTGCAGCAATGCGGGGGCAGAAAGGATCACAGATGTGGCTTTGGATTTCTGGAAAAGCGGGAAGCAGAGGGAAGACATCAAGCTCAGAGACATGGAGCACGCCCTGTCCGTGTCAGTCTTCAATAACAAGAACAGTAAGTATAGCCATCCTTCAAGAATCCGACTCCTAGCCCTAGGAGTCTTTCCAGCAGGGAGACTGGGAACTGGGTAAGGCCTCTCCCTTTGCGGTGCGCTAGGTCTCTGCCCAGGCATGGCTGGGCCTTGCCGCTGTACCAGACACTCAGACACTTGGCCTGCTCGTTTGCTTCAGTCTACCCTGTTGCCCCGTGGAGCAGATGGATGCCTGCTGGCCCGTTCTTTACACAGGACACCGAGGCTCGGTGCAGCCTCTTAGAGCCTGTGTTGCACTCCATCCTGCACTCAGAGCCTTTCAGCTCAGCTGCTTCTCCAGCTACTGTCATACAACCTTTGGCCTTGAACCTCAGGAGGCAGACAGCCATGAGGGTGACTCACTGGCTGTCTCACCTGGTCTTTGCTGGTCTCGGGTTGTTGAGCTTTCCTCCTTGGAAACGCGTTCACCGAGAAATCTGAATCGAAGTTAGCTGACTGGAACAGTGTGTTCTCCTATCCCTGACAAAGGGAAGATGACTGAGGAAAGACGAACATTTTGTTGAATGTTAAAAGTCTTTCTTCATGCTCAAAAGGATGACTACACACAACAGGAAATACAGATCAATGTGGCAGCAATACATCAGAGCACTGCTTTGAAGGTAGAGAGGACCTCCCGCAGGGCTGTAGCGGGAGAGACAGTTAAGACATCTGACAACAATGCTGGAGTGGACAGAAGAGCAGTCTTAGGGGGTACAGGAGTTTGAGGTGTCCTGGCTGGGAGGAGACATTTCACTCAGGACACACATCTGAGTTGGCAGTATATGGATGTTTTTACTTTTATGATGTTCAAATTCGAACCCAGGGCCTCAGACATGCCACATAAGTGCCTACCACTAAGTGATACCCCAGCCCACCTAGTGTTTTTTAAGGCTCTGTAACCATCTGAAGTCTACTGGTTCTGCTGAGCACTTGGTGGGTCAGGTGGTTGGGTCCTGTCATTCAGGCTGTGCTGGGGTCTCCTCCCCAGCCAGGCCAGTTGCGCCCGGCTACAATCCCAGGGATCCATGTGCACCTGGTACAGAGTAGCTCTTCAAGACAGCTGCTCACAGTCAGGTTTGCTCTTTTCTTTTCTCTTGGGAAGGGGGGATGATTTGAGACAGAGTTTCTCTGTGGCTTTGGGGCCTGTCCCGGAACTTGCTCTGTGGACTGGGCTGGCATCGAACTCACAGAGATCCACCTGCCTCTGCCTCCCAAGTGCTGGGATTAAAGGCACACACTACCACCGCCTGGCCAGTTTTGTTCTTTGCTATGGCCACAGACAGGGTCCTCACTGAGTACAGTCAGAGTGCAGGGCTCCTTCGGGAACTGAGTACATATACCTTGGGCTCTCTACACAGCTTGCCTTGGGAGCCAGGACACAAAGACATGTCATGAGCTTTTGGGGTATCCAGCAGATGCTGAGTCAAGTGTTGTCAGTACTGGGAGGCTGAGCCATGCAGAGCTAGATTTTTGCAGGGAAGCATTTGTCAGAGTCCAGACCTTTGAGGTACACAGCCTTGACTGCACACATTAGCACCCAGGGGAGTCTAGGTATTGCTTTCAGAATGCTGTGTGGTGTGGGCACTGGCAGCAGCAGTGAACTCCTTAATTGCTGGTCCAGCTGCTGAAGCTCGTTTTCTAGACGGATTGACTGGTGCAGTCTTGTCTCTGGGGATACCCCTCCCTTATCTTTTTCATGCCTCTTCCAACCTGTGCATCCGCTCCTTCCCACTGCCTGGATCCCAGCACACAGTGTGGCACATGTGTCCCTCCAGCCCACCTCCCATCTCTAAGGTGACCAGAAGAGGCCTTTCCAAGCCCACAGCACTAGTGTCCCTTTAAAGCTTGTGGTTTTCGTTTTTGTCTGTGTGTGTCTTTGCTGTGTGTGTGTGCATGTGGGTGTCCAGAGGGGGAGTTGCATCGACTGGACCCAGAGTTACATGTGGTTATGAGCACTCTGGTGAGTATTGGGACCCAACTCAGGTCCTCTGCAAGGAGCAGCAAGCCTTAACTGCTGGGCCATCTCTCTAGCCCAGGTGTCCCTTTATGTCACCCTGCCTCACAGGGCAGTGTTTGTAGACAGGTCCCAGCTCCTGTATCTCCCTCACTGTGTGGAGACGGGGTGGTCCCCACTGGACACTGCTGGATGGACAGATGAGTATTGAGTGGCTCCTTCTTGTCTGTTCCCCAGGTGGCTTCTGGCACAGCAGCCTCATTGACCGGAACCTCATTGATTATTTTGTCCCCTTCCTGCCCCTGGAGTATAAGCACCTGAAAATGTGCATCAGAGTTGAGATGCAGTCCCGTGGCTATGAAGTAGATGAGGACATTATAAGCAAAGTGGCTGAAGAGATGACCTTCTTCCCCAAGGAGGAGAGAGTCTTCTCCGACAAGGGCTGCAAGACTGTGTTCACCAAGCTGGACTACTACCTGGATGACTGAGCCCTGCCTGCTGCAGACGCTCCTGCCCGCGCTGTCAGGCCACTCCTCTCCCAGGAGGCTGCTCAGGACACTTCCTGCTGAGGTTACCAGGTATCTCCTCGGGGACTGTTTCTGCTCCTCAGAGTCCGCAGTTGGTCATGCTGTAGAGACCACAGACACAGCATGGACCCAAAGCTTCCTGGAGCCTCCAGAGGATGAAACCTCCCCGCCTGCCCATTCCTAGGCTCGTGGTATTTTTTAAAAATTATGTTTTAATTTCAGGTGTTTCTGTTTTGAGGCAGAACAATTAAGTTTTATTGCAAATGTGATAACTTTATTTTAAATGGTTTTTAATATTGTGAGAAACCTTTCCACTGTTGGCTTTGTGTCTTTTGAAGCTCTCAGACCAACACCACCAGTGTTTGTACTGCAGAAGTCCAAGCATGGGCACCTGCTGCATGAATGGTGTCTTGGGGCCTGACATCGCCCTGCCAGGGGCTGTGCAGTGATTAGGACCGGATCACTATCACAAATGTACCAGTGTGAAGTGGGAACAAGTTGAGTGGCACTGTGGGTGTTAGGTCCATTCCAGAAGCCTGGCAGGCAGAGCTCCAGATGGGCTTGTTTTATGTACACACAGTGCCTGCGAAGGGGTAGGGCTCCTGCAGGTGTGGCTGCCGTTCAGGGCACTCACGGGGCTGGGTTTAGCAAGGCCTAAAGGGCCTGACGGTTCAACAGGTCAAAAACTAGGTCAACTGCTGGCAGAATCACCCTCTACCTCTGCTACCAGCCTGTTCAGGGCTTCCGATGATGGTTTCAAGTCCCCAGGAGTCACATCAGGTCTGACTACTTATCTAAAGATGAGGCAGCCGGGCGGTGGTGGCGCACGCCTTTAATCCCAGCACTCGGGAGGCAGAGGCAGGCGGATCTCTGAGTTCGAGACCAAGCCTGGTCTACAGAGCTAGTTCCAGGTCAGGCTCCAAAGCTACAGAGAAACCCTGTCTCAAAAAAAGAGGCGCACAGTCCTCTCTTCTGAGTCCTGTAGATACGACAGAGTGGGGCCATGTTGGGCTCCTGGATGTTCAACTGAGAAACAAAGGGAGCAGCAGGGTGGCAGTGAAGAGGGCTTACCTTTCCAGAGTGTTCTGTGATGGAGCAATGCTATCAGTGCTGCTGAGATGCCAGCTTAGCAGTTACCCTGAGACCTGGTCAACAAACAGAACTATAATCAGGCTCTTTACCAGTTCTGGGCAGGAAGAACGGCAGTCAGATCTCTCTTGAGCTAGAATGAAGACAGCTATGGCCAGGTAGATCTCACCATTAGGAGGACATTATATTCCTGACAGCCCCCTGCCTCTGAACTCCAGAGCTTCTCAGGAAGGTAGAGAACTTTGGAAGCGCCCAACTTTGGCCTCTACGTGTATGTGCATGCATGTGATTGCCTGCCCCTCACAAGTGCAAACATGCCAAAGGCCCAAAAGCAAACATTGATTTTTGTGTGATTCGGTCAGCCTGTGCATCCAGGTGTGGAAAGGCAAGGATACACGTGCAGCTCTAGAGCCTTCATTCGGAGCTCAGTTTGCTGTCATACAAATGAGGAAAAACTTAGTAAAAGTGACAATGCATTGGCTTTATTAGTCCGTGTCCAGCTCTCCTCATGCCTTCTCACAGGGTGGAGAAGCTGGGCCAGGCCCAGGCCTTTCCAGGCTACAGATCAGTAACAGCAACAGTCCAAAGGTGGCCAACACGTGTCTACATATTGCATCATTGTAAACAGAAAAGCTTGTTTCTTCTTGATCAGGCACTCAACAGGTTAAATGGTGACTTGGCTCCAACTCAAGAACATGACATGGAAGCCAGCCTCACTTTGGCAGGCTTTGTTTCCTCTTTGTATGTAGCTCAGCTGGTTTTAAACTCGTCTTCCCAAGTGTTAGGATTACAGGCATGTATACCACGGGCCTGCTATTCCCTTGTGTGGTGGCCTAGACTGGCCTCTCAGGTCCTGGGACTAAAGGTGTGCACCACCATACCCAGTTCACCTTGGCATTTTTAAAAGACTAAATGTGATTCTCTAATAAGGCGTTTCCATGTTAGAAAAAGCCATTCTCCCACATTCTGTAAACACAGGGCAGAGTTCTCATGTCTGTGGCTGCATGGAGACTGTGGGACAGAGCAGAGCGGCTCACAAGGCCAGAACTGCAGGCTGGCTTTCCAACCGTCAGAGCAGCCCGGCCCAGTGCTGCCTAAGGACATCACCCTGAGAGGACACCCGAGACCCACCACAAACTGAGGGACCGTGGAGTCTAAAATTGTGTCCATATCATTCCATGCTGCCCATTTGACCCCAAAACCCTTTTCTGCCCTCTTTAAAGAGTTTCATGTAGCTCAAGCTGGCCTCAATTCACAACATAGCAGAGGAACCCTGAATCCTGATCTTCCTGCTAGGATGGTGGGCACTGTGCCCCCACACCCAGCAACAATAAAAGCCTGGGAATACTAAGGATACTTACTCTATTTTATGTCCTTCCTAAGTTTTTGGTTTCTGAGACAGGGTTTCTCTGTGTAACAGCCCTGGCTGTTCTGAAACTCACTTTGTAGATCAGGCTGTCCTCAAATTCAGAGATCCACCTGCCTCACCTCCCAAGTGCTGGACTAAAGACATGGGTGTGCCACCACCACTAACTGGGCACTTCTTAGGTTTTAAAATATACGGCACCTTATACTTTATTACCTAAGATTTAGAAGTAAAAACATGTTTTAAAAATATTCATGTCCTTTAAAAAAACCGACATCTCTGGTATGTGTGGCACTCCTTTGGACAGAGTCTAAGCATACGGTGTGTGGCCAGGGGGCCCTGGCCCAGAGCTCACTCTTCCTATGCATGCTGTACCTTCAGAGTAAGTTTAACAGGCAAACAGGAACCAAGACTTCCAAAGCTTCAGTCTGTTCTGACAGGCCCAGGATGAGGCTAGGACAAGGTCGAAGGCAGACCCACACACAGAGGAGACAGGTGAGAGAATTCCACAGCGGGGGCTGCGAGAGCAGCAGCTAAGGAAAGGAATAGCCTCAAAAGGCTGTGTCCCAATGTGCCACAGGAGCCTCAGAGACCAAGCATCTGTCAATGCCACTAGCTTCTGAAAACTGTCATGGAGTGCCAGCTCAGGGCAAGGAAAAAACAAACAAAAAAAACACACACACAAAAAAAAAAAACCCCAGACACAGGTGGGTGCTCCTAGAAGGAAAAACCTGGTTCCTCAAGGCTGCAGCCCATTAGTGGCACCTGAGCCACAGTACCTTGACCACACAGGATGTGTTCACAGGCCTCCTGTGTTCATGTCTCTAGGCACTTGGTTCACAGTAGCAGTGTTAGGTTCTACAAGTTCATCTTGAGATGCTGCCATGCAGCACTGACAACATCCCCAGAGTCCACGGGTGCAAATGTGCAAAGCCCCAAGGGGGGTCTTCAAAGTGTTTCCACAAGGCAAGGCCCCGGAGGGGGTGGGAGGCTCCCCTCCCCTGGATCTTCCTACCCCATGGGATGAAGAGCTCAATAGAAATCTAGCCGTGACTGCACAGTCTTGCAGCCCTTGTCCGAGTAGATCTTCTCGTCTTTGGGGAAAAATGTCATTTCATCTGCCACCCTGGTGACGATGTCTTCGTTGACAGCATGCCCTCGGGCCCGCATCTCTGCCCGCACACACATCTTGACATGTTTGTACTCCAAGGGCAGGAAGGGGATAAAGTAGTCGATGAGGTTCTTGTCTATCAGCCCACTGTGCCACAGACCACCTGCAGAAGACAGGGTCTCCTGTCATTGCCGCCTGGACACACCCATCTCTGATCTGGGTTCATAGTCCACCCTTCATGGCTTTTCAAGACAGGGTTTCTCTGTACTTTGGGGCCTGTCCCGGAACTCACTCTGTAGACCAGGCTGGTCTCGAACTCACAAAGATCCGCCTGCCTCTGCCTCCCAAGTGCTGGGATTAAAGGCGTGCGCCACCACCACCCGGCTGACACTGGCTTAAGACAGTACTGAGAAGCAGTTTAATGCTACAGAGCACTGGGTGCCCCACTCCATAGTGGACTCACTGTTAGCAGAGCACTGGGTGCCCCCACTCCCTAGTGGACTCACTGTGTTAGCAGAGCATTGGGTGCCCCCCCCCACGGTCTCTAGTGGACTCACTGTGTTTGTTGTTGAAGACGCCCACGGACAGCACAGACTCCAGGTCCTTCAGCTGGATCTCTTCCCTCTTCCTTCCTGCCCGCCAGAAGTCCAGGGCTGTCTGAGTTATCAGGTCCCCGCCTGCATTACTGAGTTGGCCAGAGATGCAAAGACCAATATCACACTTCAGTTATCCCCAGCTCTCTGCCAAATGCACTCAGCCAAAGCTCATAAGGCATCACCGCATGACACCCCCACTTCCAGTGCTCCAGAGATTTGTTCCTTTGAGATAGGTTTCTCTACTCAGTAGACCAGGCTGGCCTTGAATTTAACTCCCAAGTGCTGGGATTAAAGGCGTGTGCCAAAGCTTTAATTCAGGACTATCTGCAACACGCTAACAGACAAGGGCAAAAGCATGTCTGCCTGCAAGAAAAGTAAATGCTTGCTTAAAGGGGCTGGCAGGGGCACCAAGTGCCTCACTGAGGGATCACTCTGGCTGATCCCCGACCCAGTTCCATGCCAGACTGACACCGGGAAGTGAAAATTGACAAATGAGCCCATGGCTTTGCCAAGCTGGCAATTCTGTCCTGGATGGCCGAGAGAACGTCATTCTAAGAGAATAGTCCCTGAGAAGCCTCCTTGGCTGACCTGAGGAAGATGAAGACGGCTTTGCGGTAGGAAATCCCATCCACCTGCTCATAGTAGTCGAGGAAGGGCTTGATTGCATCAATGATCCCGGGATGCAACTTATCCATCTCATCAAAGATGAAGACGGAGCTGCCACACGCGCTCACATTACCTCGGATCCACTTCTGGAGCTGGTCCTAGACCAACCATAAAGAGAGGCACAGCTCAGAGGATGAGGGCGAAGGGCTCCCTGGGCTTTGAGAAGCCATCAGCCGCATTTGTCCCCACACAGCAGGTAGACACTTTCCAAACTACCACAGGTGGAAAGGCCACCTAAGCCTGGCCACCTGAGTTCAGTCCCGGGGACCCACATGGTGGAAGGAGAGCCGACTTCCGCAAGCCATCTACTGACCTCCACCACATGCCCACGGCTGGTGCATGCACCTGTAACCTCAGCCTTCTGCAACAAAATGGGAAGTAGAGAATCGGGCAGAAGCTGATTGGCCAACTCACCCAACATATAGTACAGCAGCCTCAAACAAGGAAGAAGGTAAGAGCCCTGGGGTTGCTTCTGTGGGGCATTTATTACAGCAATAGCAAAGAGGCCAAGACGCCAGCCAGGCAGAGCAATGACAACTGGATTCAGACCTTCACAATGCAATGGCCACAGCTTTGGACTGATGCGGTGAGTACAGGAGCTGACCATGCTGACAGGAAATGCACGGGACTACATTGCTAGCCCCTTTGCTTTCTTGCAACACCCAACCAACAGCCTTTCATCCCCCTATATGGGGGAGGCCACAGCCATGAGTCACGCCCTGCAAATACTGTATTCTGAGGGATCTATAATAAAATGTGGAAAACGAGCATGTTTGTGGTGGGGGCTGTAACCTGGTGGCAACAGCATGTCCTCAGCATGAAAAAACCTTGTTTTCAGGGGCTGGAGAGATGGCTCAGCGGTTAAGAGCACTGGCTGCTCTTCTAGCAGTCCTGAGTTCAATTCCCAGGACCCACATGGCTGCTCACAACTGTCTGTAACTCCAGTTCCAGGGCATTTGATTCTCACACCAATGGACATAAAATAATAATAAATCAAAAAAAACAAACAAACAAACAAACAAAAAAAAAAACCCTTGCTTTCTATCCCCAGCACCTAAAAACAACTGTCCCTCCTCCCTTTGGCACTCCTCCCTGCCTTCACAGATTCACTTTCATTTCCTTCTTCCCTTAGTTTTGGTTTGCTAGCCAGTTCCTGGAAGGACCAACAAGCCAGCCAGTTAACTCAGAAGCAGCCAATGCACTGTACTGAGATCACACAAGGAGAAACAGTCTGGAGGTGTAGTTCTTTGAGACCCAAGGATGGAAGGAGCCAAGGGAATCAAAACTGTACCCTGCAAAACACAGGGCCAAGCCCAGGCTGCAACACAGGGGAGAGCTTTCAATGAGGCCATTAGACTGCCCCACCTAACACCCTTTGCTCTGCTGGGAAGGCGCGTCACTTTCTGGGTATCTAGATCCAGATGGGAGGCGCTGAGTATAGGCCATACAAATCAGTCACCTTGCCTCTCATCTTTCCTCATTCTAGCTCCTTCTCCCGCCCCCAAATTCCAGGGACTGAACCTATGGCCCCCAAACACAAGCTGGCTCCATCCCCCCTTTTCAGACAAGGTTTCTCTATGTGGCCCTGGTCGTCCTGAAACTTCCTCAGGTAGACCAGGCTGACCTTGAATTCAGATCCACCTGCTGGAATGAAAGGCATGTGCCACCATGCCCAGTTGCTGGCTTCTTCTTCTAACGTTCATAGCATCCCCTACCTCACTGGATTGTTCTGGAATAGCATTTTAAGAGAAGTTGCGGGCTGGAGAGATGGCTCAGTGGTTAAGAGCATTGCCTGCTCTTCCAAAGGTCCTGAGTTCAATTCCCAGCAACCACATGGTGTCTCACAACCATCTGTAATGAGGTCTGGTGCCCTCTTCTGGCCTTCAGGCATACAAGCAAACAGAATATTGTATACATAATAAATAAATATTAAAAAAAAAGAGAAGTTGCTGTGCAGCGGTGGCACACACCTTTAGTCCCAGCGCTCAGGAGGCAGAGGCAGGCAGATCTTTGTGAGTTCGAAGCCAATATGGTCTACAGAGCAAGCCAGGCCAGCCAAAGCTACACAGAGAAACCCGTCTCAAAAAACAAACAAACAATAAATAAATAGAAGGCTGGGCACACCTATAATCCCAGCATTAAGGTGGGGGTAGAAGAATCAAAAGTTCAAGGCCAGCCTCAGCTATGTATGAATTGGACGCCAACCTGGGCTACATGATCACCACCACCCCACCCCACCCCCGGCCACATACACATACATGCTTTAAGATGGGCAAAAGTGGTGGATGCCTGTTAATCTCAGTCCTCAGAAAGCTGGAGCAGTCGGATCCAGCCTGGGCTACACAATGAGACCTTAACTCAAAAAGTATAAATAGAGGCTAGGCATGGAAGCCCACAGCTTTGGTCCCAGCACCTGGGAGGCAGAGGCAGGAGGCGCTCCATGAGTTCCAAGCCTGCCAGAGCTACATAGTGAAACTGAACCAGTAACAGAAAGGAACAAGCGAGGCAGAGAAGCCGCATGGAGCTACTGCAAGGCAGAGAGAAGCAGAGGCCCAGACATGCGAGCAGGTAGCAAAGGTTTCCTTGCCTGGTACAGTTTTGTCTTCTGCTCATGAGGGAAGTGCAGGGTAGAGACGAACAGGTGGACAAAGTTACTCTTCAGGCCTTTTGGGTGGAGGCTCTCAGCCACAATCTGGCTGACAAAATTTTTGCCCGTGCCAGCCCAGCCGTGCATGGACAGAGTCAGTGCTTTCTTGGGATTTTTATTGTTCTTGAAGCCGGTCAGTGCCTTGAGAATCACTTCGGTGGCGAGGTGCTGTCCAAACAGCTTTGCCTCCAAGTTCAGCTTGAGGGCTGCGGAGGCCAGCCCGAAACAGAAAGAAAAAATATACGTTAAAAAAGCACGGAGAAGGGCGCAGCTTAGCGGCTGATTCAAGTTTCAGAGCCCGAAACTTAAGGATCTAGAATCAGACCCTGTAAGCGGCAGTTCTCCTTAACCCTTAAGTGTCTGACAATGAAGCTACGCGGATTCTTTCATCCAGGGAAGAGCCATTTCGCCGCTGAGCTCCGTGCTAGTTTTCCCGCCACCCCTGCCGGCTCGGGGAAAAAAAAGGGAAGAGCCAAAGGCGGGAGGGCTTTCAGGGTGGAGGTGCACGCCTGACTCCCAGTGCCGGGGCGCACAGCCAGCTCCGCAGCGTCGTCCTCCGGGCGGTCACCGCAGGGAAGACCTGCGAAGGTGTGGCGAGTCTGTGTCCAGCGGCGCGTTGGGCTGGAGGTGGAACCGAACGCCCGGCGCCGTCCCGCCCGCCCCGACCTGCCCGCGGGCACGTACCCGACGCGTTGAGGGTCCGTTCCTCGTCGCAGCACTCGGAGAAGCGGCAGAACGCGCCCGAGTAGGTCAGGTAACTGGTGAGTATCGACGCGGCCCCGATGGCGATGGCCATGCTCACCGGCTCGACCGCCGCCGCGAAGCGGGCGGCCAGCAGAGCCCACAGGGCCGCGGAGCCCACGAACGCCCTGATGCCCCGCATCGCGCGCGATCCAGAGAAGTAATGCCGCGCTCGAATTCAGTACCGACAGAGCGGCAGACCTGCTTCCGGTACTGACGTCACTTCCGCCTGCCGAAAGAGCGATCACACTGTAAAGGGGCGGGAGGCTTGAGGCGCCTTCCTTGTGAGCGCCCTGAAACCTCTAGGATCCTGTGTTCTCCTCCGCCCACGCCAGGGTTTCTCGATTTATCCTTGGCTAACCAGGAACTCGCGCCGTAGACTAGGCTGACCTTGAACTCAAAGAGGTCCTCCTGCCTCTGCCCTCGCGAGTGCGCGGATTAAAGGCGTGTGCCACCACCGCCAGGCTTCACGCCTGATTTAAGAGGTTTTCGCCAGGTCTACAAGTCTATAAGAGCTAGTTCCAGGACAGGCCCCAAAGAGAAGCCCTGTCTCGAAAAACCAAAAAAAAAAAAAAAAAAAAGTCTTACTTGTTTTTTTTCTGTTTTTTTTTCTAAATTAGTGTGTGTGTGTGTGTGTGTGTGTGTGTGTGTGTGTGTGTGTGTCTGCTGGAGAGATGGTTCAGTAGTTAAGAGCTCCTCTGGAGGACCTCGGTTCAATTCCCTGCACCCATATCCTGGCTCTTTAATGGTCTGTTCCAGGGGCTCTGACACCTTCTGACCTATGTGAGCTCTGCACACGCATGACACACAACAGGCAAAACACTCTATACACATAAAGTAATTGAAAAACATACATAGAGACAGGCAGTGGTGGTGCACGCCTTTAACTAGCTCTCGTAACTTAACCCAAATCTTTTAATCTACATTCTTTAACATGGCTTTGTCATCTTTACTCTGTACTACCTATGCTGCTTCTTCCTTGTCTCCTGGCATCTCTCTTCTTCCCAGTGTCCCCTCTGCCTGGAAATCTAACTCAGGTCACCATGCCTGCACAGCAAGGGTGCTTACCTAACAGAGCCATCACTATAGACCTTCTTATTCTTCAGCAATCACTCTACCACTAAACTACACACAAAATTCGCAGGGCCTTTTGTTTTTTTGAGACAGGGTTTCTCTGTGTAGCCTTGGCTGTCCTGGCAAACTCAGGTCTGCTGGCTTCTGCTGGGATTAAAGGCATATGCCACTACTGACAGGTTCATAGGACCTTTTTGGTTTTTTTGTTTGTTTTTCAAGACAGGGTTTTTCTATGTTAACAGCCCTAGCTGTCCTGGAACTAGCTCTGTAGACCACCAGGCTGGCCTTGAACTCACAGACAGAGATTTGCCTACCTCAGCCTTCAAGGGCCGGGATTAAAGGCATGCACCACCACCGCCAGGTTGATAGGACATTTTTTGTAAAGATTTATTTATTATGTATACAATGCTCTGTCTGCATGTATGCCTGCGCACCAGAAGAGGGCACCAGATCTCATAGATGGTTATGAGCCACCACGTGGTTGCTGGGAATTGAACTCAGTTAAAGCCAGTGAGTGCTCTTAACCTCTGAGCCATCTCTCTGGCCCCCCTGATAGGCCCTTTTTAAGAGCCTCTCAGAATCCTAAATTTGGGATTTGTCATCCTGTCTCATTTCTCCTAGACTCTGATGAGCACTCTCACATCTGCCCGCCTCTAGCCTTCCTGAACAGCTGGCAAGCCTGCTTGGTGAGAGGCCCAGGGTTGAACATCCGGGATATGGAGCACTTAGAGATACATGCTGTGGTTTCACAAGTAAATTCAGACATTCATCCATGCTGCATGCCACATGGCAGGCCCCAGGCTGTTTCTGGGAAGACAGCAGCAGTGCAGCAGACAGACTTGGTCCTGCCTTTCAGGACTTAGAGGCTGTGGGGGAGGCAGGCAAGGGGACAAGGGACAATATTGAGCCTTCAAAAGTTCAGGGACCCTGGAATAGGGAAAGCCTTTGCCTAAGTTGGAGATTAAAGGTATTATTCAAACAAAACCAACCAAAACCAAACAGTGGCATGGTCTATTAGAGAGTGGGGCTTGTAGACAGTCCGTTTGAGGAGCTGAGGACAGCACACATCGTGGATAGTACTGGGAGGTGAGAACAGAGGGCAGTGCAGAGACCAGAAGGCTTGCAGACACGGAACGAAGTTAGCTCGTGCTCTGGAGTAGAGTTGGGAGCCACAGGCTCCCAATAAGGACAACATAGCCTGCTCAGGAAGAAAGACTGTCACAGCGGTCCACTTATTCTTAGCCCAGGCTTTGCTAAACTTGATTGAGTTCTTTGGGCAGCCAATCTGCAACAGATATCTCATGAACTCTGGCTGTGGGTGAGACCCAGCACCATATACAGTACCAGGCCTACATCAGGGGACAGAACAGGTGTTCCTGACTTCATGACAGAGCCATGGTTATGACTGTTCTTATTTCTGGGGGGTTAGGGCAAAAGCTAAGGCCTCCAGGGATCCTGAAGGCTGATCTCGGTGACCTGTCCCAGTGTAATAATTAAAGTGATGATTAACAGTGATTATGAAAGAAATTTTATCAATGTATCACATTAGGAAGAGAAGCAGATAAGGGGACCAATGACCCCAAGTCCATCTTCTGGATAGTGGCACAGACTTTAGCTTTAGATAGAGGAGGACTTGGGACAAGGGACAAGAGGCATGCACATAGTTAAGCACTTCTGATCAAAGGTGGTCTGGTTGATCATTAACTCAGTTCTAGTTCTGAATGATGACTTACGGGAATCTATACTCTTTGAAGGAACAAGCCAGTTGTCAGGAGCTTGCTCCAGCCATTCCTTCAGAGACAACTGTCTTCACAGGATGCTGGGCTGGCTCACCCATGATTGCGGTTGGTGTAGGTGCCTTGTCATATGGATATTGATTGATCAGGCCTGTTCTGGAAATCCAAGCTGACTGAAGGGTTAGGACAATGACTGGAGCCCATTTTGGCATTCTGAAATACAATACAACGCGGTAAAAGCTGACAGCAAATCAGGAGTGGTGGACACAGAGGCAGGTGGGTCTCTGAGTTCAAGGCCATCCTGGTCCAAAAGAGTGAATTCCAGAACAGCCAGCGGTATCAGTCACACAGAGAAACTCTATCTCAAAACAAAACAAACAGCCGGGCGATGGTGGCGCACGCCTTTAATCCCAGCACTCGGGAGGCAGAGGCAGGCGGATCTCTGTGAGTTCGAGACCAGCCTGGTCTACAAGAGCTAGTTCCAGGACAGGCTCCAAAACCACAGAGAAACCCTGTCTCGAAAAACAAAAAAAAAAAAACCAAAACAAACAAACAAACAACAACAACAACATAAAAACCAAAAGACAACAAAAAACTGATAGTAGTTACCTGTATCTCAACAATTGGAAGACAGAGGCTAAAAGATTGGGAGTTAAAGGCCATCCTTGGCTATACAGTGAATTTGAGGCTAGTCTGGGCTACATAAGAACCTTTCTCAACACACACACACACCAAGGACGAATGAAGAGAAGAGAAGACACTGGGCAGTGACTCACACTTTTAGCCCCAGCACTCAGGAAACAAAGACAAAGGCAGGCGAGTCTCTGTGAGTTTGAGGCCAGAATGGTGTACAGAGTGAGTTCGAGGACACAGAGAAAACACCAACTAAATACCAACTAAACAAACAAAAAGGAAGAGACATGATGAAGGCAGAGCTGCCAGGCTTCACCATGCTTTAGGCACTTTGAGGGACTGCCTCCAAGTAAGGAGACAGTGCCTGTCACATTCTGATCATCTTAGATCCATACTGAGCTAGCAGGGGTCAAGTCCATAGAAGGGAGGAGCCAGTTGTGTAGCTGAAATAATGGTCCAGAGGAAGCAACTGGTGGTGTGAGCTAAAACACAAGCAGGGGCAGGAAGAGTAAGGAACTTGAGAGTTGGCCTTGATGCGGAGCCAGGACCAGGGACGTGGTGTGATTCCTGGGGGCAGGAACACCATGGAGACAGACGGAGAACAGAAAGGTGAGGAGGTAGCATGGCCCTCAGTTGTTCAGGTCCCGTGGTCTCGTCTGTTTTGGTGATTCTGAATAGCTAGGGTAGCCAAGACCCGAGAGCCATCAGGAGTCAGCATCAGGAGAGGATGCTGGCTGCTGAACAACGCTTCCAAGATGGTGCAGTTGTGGGATATTTGTACACTGTGTGATAATGTATTTCTGTAATTGGTGTAATAAAAAGCTGAATGGCAAATAGCTAGGCAGGGGGTAAAGGCGGGACTTGTGGGCAGAGAGAGAACTCTGGGAAGAAGAAGACAGAGTCACCAGCAGGATGGACATGAGGAGGCAGCATAAAGAGCCACGTGACAGGAAGTGGGTTAAAGTAAATTGGTTAATTTAAGTTATAAGAGTTAGTGGGGGGGGGGCTGGAGAGATGGCTCAGTGGTTAAGAGCACTGACTGCTCTTCCAGAGGACCCGGGTTCAATTCTCAGCACCCACATGGCTACCCACAACTGTCTGAAGATCTAGTTCCAGGGGACCTGACACCGTCACACCAATGCATATAAAATAAAGTTAAATAAAATTTAAAAAAAAAGAGTTAGTGGGACAAACCTAAGCTAAGGCCAAGATTTCATAGTTAACAATAAGTCTCTGTGTCATTATTCGGGAGCTGGCAGTACAGAGAAAGACTCATAACATGGCACCTTCTTGCTGTGTCCTCCATGCAGAAGGTGAAAGGACAAGGAGGGCCTCGCCAGTGTTAATTTTGTGTGTGACAACTGAGGATCCAGTCAGCCTACCTCTCAAGTCTGTGTGAGCCTACCTCTCAAGTCTGTGTGTATAGATGTGTGTGTGCGTGTGTGTGTGTGTAGATGTGTATGTATAGATGTGTGTGTATGTGTGTGTGTGTGTGTAGCTACACATGCATCAGAGTGTCTATGTAGAGCCAGAAATCAATGTTTGCTATCATCCTCAGTCCCTCTCTATATATATTGAGCTGGGCGATTGTGGTGCACACCTTTAATTCCAGCACTCGGAGGCAGAAGCAGGCAGATCTCTGTGAATTTGAGGCCAACCTGGTCTACAAGAACTAGTTCCAGGACAGACTCCAAGGTTACAGAGAAACCCTGTCTTGAAAAACCAAAAAGAGAGACAGGGGGGGGGTGGGGATGCGAATCTCGACACACA